CAAGGTCACTGTGAGTCAGAATTGACAGTGAGTATGAGAGAGGCTCCGTTTGATTCCCAGTCAGTGCAACTGATGTGCAGCCAGCATCGTTGTCTGTCAGGCTTTCGTGTGACTAGGATGAGAAAACAGTTACAGAGGAGCTTCCAGACTAAGACAGAGGAGGAAGGCAAACTTGGCAAGCTACAATGAGCCAATCCTCAACCCATCATGGGGCCAGTGCAGGCATGGGCAGCCTGTAGCTTGGTTGTGTAGCAGGTCATGCATTCTGGAGACTTGGTGATCTGCTGGTATATGAAAGGTGCCCAATGCCATATCTGCTCAATGAAAACAGGATATTTAGAGGAGGGAACTCCATGGATTTTATGAGTTAGCAAGGTACTTAACCTTTCTTGCTTTCTTTTTTTCCACTTAATCTTTCTAAGCTGTGTCTGCAGAAAAGGGTTCAAAGAATTGTGGTATCAAGCTTGGAAGCAATTTCACAGCCCATCTGGTCCACGTACTGTTGTAAAGTGGACATATCAGTCCTATCTGCCGCTACCTCAAAAAGCTGTTAAAAGGCTAAGAATGATTAATAATAATAATTATTATTAATAATAATAATCACCCAAACTACTGAATGTCATATGCCAACTATTATTTAAAATGTTCATAAGTTTCTCATATCTAACCCTGCTTCTTGTGGAAGGCAGTTGAACTGTGAGCCACACTTAAGGCACAATTGAAGTGGATTGCTGCCAAGATGGCTGTCAACACGTTTCTCTTCCTTGAATGAGTATGTTCTGTCTCCCACCAAGCTAAAATCTATTTTCCTTCCTTCTGAATCTGGCTGCTCCTGTCACATGCTTTGATCACTAAAATACAATACAAGTGACTTTTGGGTCTAGGCCTTAAGAAATGTAGCAGTTTCTGCTTCCACCTTCTACCTGTTGTGTAAATAAACTGTCTACCCTGCTCAAGAGCCATGTGGAGAGAGAGGGCAGTCTAACCAGTTCCCCAAGACATTTACCATGTTTCCCCAAAAGTAAGACATCCCCCGAAAATAAGACCTACTTACAGTTTTGCCTCTTGCTGAAATATAAGGCATCCCCCCAAAATAAGACCTCCCTGAACATAAGGCCTCCCTGGTAATAAGGCCCCCAGAAGCTACTGGAACTCTGGACTCTGGACCGTAGCACCAGGCACCATTGTGCAGCTCACTGTTGGCTGCAGCGCAGCTGGAGCAGACAGGAAGTTCGAGTAAAAGTACCATAGATTATGAGTAAATGTACCATAGATTGTTGTACATGAAAATAATGGTAGTAACAAGAAATTCTTGATACTGTAGGATTCACAGTTTGTCTGGTTATGCTGGTTTGTGATGACAACTACTACCATACCGTATACAGGTAATAAATTTCCTTTTTTTGTTGTTCAACAATAAATGTGTACCGTATTCTTCATGGAAAAATAAGATATCCCCTGAAAATAAGACCTAGCGCATCTTTTGGAGCAAAAATTAATATAAGACACTGTCTTATTTTCAGGGAAACGGTAGAAATGTCAGCTGAACACTACTTATGATCGAAGTCATTCTAGACATTTCAATCACAGCTTAATTCCCAGCTGAATGCAGCCACGTGAGTAATCTCTTCCAACAGATTAGCTGCCTAGCTGCCTAGCTGAGCCCAGTCGTTTTATGTTTGGGGGGTATGACTGAGCAATGGATAACAGAAGCACTCTCTTGTGAACTCTTATGTCTTGCACAACCACCCTGAGGTGTAGAAGAATAGAGATGGTCCCCAGGCTGTTGGCTGGCTGTTAGGTGATGTCGAGTTGGTTGACTCTTAGTGACAACAAAACAACGCTGCCTGGTGCTACACCCCCTCACAGTTGTTATGCTCGGGCTCACTGCTGCAGCCCCTGTGTCAGCCCACCTTGTCAAGGCCTTCCTCTTTCCCTGACCTTCTACTGTACTGAGCATGAAGTCCTTTGCCAGGGACTGGCTCTGCTGGTAACATGTCCAAAGCACGTGAAGTGAAGTCTTCCTATCCTCACTTCTGAGCACGTTTCTGTCTATACTTCTTCCAAGACAGGCTTGTGTGCTCTTTTAGCAGCCCTGGGACTTTCAGTATTCTTCACCAACCTCTACCCCAAGGTAGACGATAAGAAAGTGGAAGAGGCTTTCCTGCAGTCACACGTTCCAGACTTGTAACCAGTTCCCCGGGAGCTTGACTTCTGGGCATTTCCTGCCATTCCTGATGACCTGAGGTGAGATGACTGGTGAGAATCAAAGTTTCACGAATAGCATATCGTTCCTCAGTAGTTTCATCAGATCATGCTTGATGCTTTCCCTAAAGGGCTTTCATATCTTTTTTTTTAAAGGGCTTTCATATCTTGATCGACTTAGAATCGTGCCTGTGAATATGGCAAGGGCTGTACTCATGTTTTCTATTGTTGTTAGTGTCATTGGAATGATGTGGAGCTGAGAGGCAGACACACTGAAAGACTTGGTCAAGACAATCCACTGAATCCAAGGAAGGCTACGGTTCAACTGAAATCCACTAGTCACATCCACATATTTGCTGTACAACCAAAGTGACCCAGAAAATCAAATCCAAACCAAAAAAGGTGCTTACGGTTAACATCAGGGCAAGCATCCCCAGATACCTGTGAAAGCGCATTTCCAAGGAGAACGGGAGGGTCGGGGTGGTATTGGAAGGAAACAAATCTCCTAAATTATCTTCAAG